CAGACCCTTTTTGACTCAGTCGACAGAAGGTCCTCAGACACCTGGGGGGGCAAGGAGAGGGGTGGGGTGGTGGTGATGGGGAGGTGGGGCCACGGCGCGCACGCGTGGCGCACGTTTGTAGGGGCCCCAGCCGTTTGTAGGGGCCGGCAGCAGCGGAAGGGGGTGCGGCCGCGCTTGGCGTGCTGCCGCAAGCGAGCGGCACGCGTGCTGGCTGCTTCCTTGGAGACCCTGCCACCCCACCGCCACCGTCCCCGCGCACGGGCCTCACACCCCCTCCACACACGCACCGCCCCCACACCACACCACACCACGACACACCACCACCACACCACACACCACCACACCACCCCCCCACCACACCCACACCCTCACCTGCATGATCTGGTCGTGGAAGGCGGCGTCCTTGCGCACCAGCAGGCGCGACATGTAGACGGCGCGCTGGTCCAGGGGCAGGGAGTACCAGGCGTGGTAGGGCACCGAGATGACGGTCCAGCCCACGGCGCGCAGCAGGCGGCGGCGGATCATGGTCTGGCCCAGCGGGGAGCTGGTGTTGACGGAGAAGTGGAAGGGGCCGTCCACCTCCACAGCCACCTTCTTGCCTGCGTGGAGGTGGGGGGCGGGGCGGGAGGGGGGCGGGCTGATGAGGGGGGTAAACGGGGCCGGACGGCAGGCGCAGGCGCGCCGCGGCCGCGCGTGCGGCCACCGCGCCCGGCACCCCGGCCGGCGCTTGGGGCACGCCACCTGCGGCCTGCGCGCACTCAGACTGCCCACCCCTGGAGCCACACCACCCCTGCGCGCACCTCCCTTGACGATGGCAATGTCGACGGACAGCAGGTTGACGGCGGTGAGGTACTCCAGCTCGTGCTCGATGCCCAGCTGCCCCAGCGCCTCGCTCACCTCCAGCTGGAAGGAGGACAGCTTGGCGGCCTGCGAAGGGGGGTGGGGGGTGGGGGAAGGGGCTGGGGTGGTTGGATGTGCGCGTAGGTGTGCATGTCGGCGCGCGTGGGGGGGCAGCGTCGGCGCGTGTGAGGGCAGGCGGCAGGGCAGTGACGCAGGGCAGGGCAGGGCGGCGCGGTGGAGGCGCCGGCGCTCGCAGCAGGACCGCGGCAGGACCGCGGCGGCCCGGGCCCCCACCGCCCCCGCCCACCCAGCCACCCCAGCCACCCCCCCGCCCCCACCCAGCCACCCGCCGCGCTCGCCTGCTGCTGTGCCTGCCATGCCTGCAGCGCCGTGTCCACAATGTCGTCCGGCAGGTCGATGTCGGCGCGGAACTCGCCCGGCCGCCGCTGCTGCTCAAACTGCGCCAGCAGCACCGCCTGCAGCACCTGGTTGTACTGCACATCCTGCGGCAGCGGTACGAGAGGGGAGCCAGGGGCGGCAGGGGCGGGGGCAGATGGGTGAGAGGGATATACGCGTGGGGTGGGGTGGGATGGCCGGCAGGGGGGCCCCAAGGCGGCGCCGCCAACAACATAAACCAGGAGCCTGGCTAGAGCCTAGCCAGGGCATCCCATCACCTGGAACCCCCCCGCGCGCTCCAGCTCCACAAACCGCTCCACCAGCTTCACAAACGCCTCGCAGTGCGTGGCCTGCGGGTGGGGGGCAGCGAGGGGGCAAGGCAGGCAGGCGCAGGCGTGGGAGCGGGTGGGCAGCAACGCGTCCGTTGCGGCGCCCTCCAGCCTCCGCCGCAGCCGCGGGCCCAACCCCCCGGCCTGCCACGCCCCCTTGCCAGCCCCAGGCGCGGCCAATGTATCTTCAAATAAAAGCAAAGTGGTTCCGGTCCTCATCTGCCGCCGCCTCACCGACAGCGCGGCCATGGCCCACATGGTGGTGGTCAGCGACTGGCCGTCAAACTCGGCCACCCGGCGCACCACCTCCACCTGGTACTGAGCCATGACGGGGCCCGGGTGGTAGGCAAACCTGTGGGGGGAGGGAGGGAGGCGGGCGGGCAGGCCGGGGCGGGCAGTGGGTAAGGCAGTGGGTAGGGGGCCGCCCGCGGAGCGCAGCCCAGCCGCCTTCCAGGCCAGGCAAGCCTGCCAGGCAAGCCTGCCAGGCGTGCACGCGGGCAGGGCGAGCACCACAGGCACACACGCGGCGGCGCGGCGAGTGCAGGCCACCCCCCCCACTCCGGGCGCCGCCCGCGCCGCCGCCTCACTTGGCGAAGCTCCAGATGGAGTTGGAGATCTCCTGGCTGCTCATGGTGTGCATCTTGCGCCCCACCGCGCGCGTGATGGGCTCCAGCAGCCGCACCGGGTACCAGCGCAGGTAGGCGAAGCTCCACAGCGTGTTGGCCAGCGCCTGGGAGGTGAAGTCGTCCAGGCGCGACACGCGCCGCTCCCGCCCCGACCCATCCAGCTCCACCCAGCTGGTGCTCAGCTCACGCTCAAACGCGCCCAGCAGCTGCTCGTGGATGATGTTGCCCTGGGCAAAGGCCTGCAGGGGGCGCCGCGCCGTGAGGCAGGGGGCGGGCCGGGCCGGGGAGTGAGGCAGGCAGGCGGCGGCGACGCACAGCGCGCCGCCTGGTGCAGGCCAGCGGTGGGTTTGCGCCCAGCGTGTTGCGCACAGGGCTGCCGAGCGGGGGTTGGTCGGCCTGCCAGGCTGGCGCCAGGGGGGCAGGGCAGGGCGGGGCAGGCCAGCGCGGGGCTGCGCTCACGTAGATCGAGTTGGACAGCTCCTGGGCTCGGAACTGGCGCGCCAGCTCGGGGGTGCGGAACCTGCGGCGCCAGGCGTGGGGGGAGGGGCGGCGCCAGGAGGCCAGGCCCTCAGGCACGCCAAACCATCGGGCGGCTGGAGCAGCACGGCCGCCGTGCTGCACCCCAGTCTCCAACCCACTCCCTTTTGGGTTCATGCAACACACCCATGCGCCAGGCACGGCCGGCCCCGCAGCCATGCCGCCGCCCAAGCAGGCCTCCCATGGCCTCTCCTGGCAGCCTCCCCCGCCCACCTCTCCACCAGCTCCGTGGCCGACGCCTCAAACAGCTGCTGCGGGTAGACATCCAGCTTGCAGAAGCCCCACAGCAGGTTGCTCAGCGTCTGCGCAGGGCGGGGGCGGGCGCACGGGCGGGCGGCGGGGTCGGCACGGCGTGCGGCACGGCGCGGCGGTGTGGTGTTGCTGGCGACGGCGTGCGGCGGGGCTGGGCCAGGTCGTGCGCTAGCTGACCGATAGAGCAACGCGCACCGCACTTGCAGGCGCAGGCGCGCGCGTCCCTCCCGCCACCACACCACACCACACCACCCCCTCCCCACAACACCCCCCCACACACCTGCGACTGGAAGTCAGGCATCTTGCGTGTGGCTGCCGCCGCCACAGCCTCCAGAAAGGCGGGGGCCGGGTGCCAGGCGGGGCGCAGCTCGCGGGGCACGTGGGTGGGCGGGTTGCCGCCCATGGTGGGCCCGATGCAGCCGCGCGTGCCGTTGCGCAGGTGCGCGCACGCCCACACCATGTTGGACAGCCCCTGCGGGATGAAGTCGTCGATCTGGGACACGACCTGCGCAGGGGGGGAGGCGGGGGAGGGTGTCGGAGGCGGAGGCGGAGGTAAAAAAAGGAGGGGGCAGGGCGAGGGGCCGGCGGACACAGGCAGGGACACGCAGCAGCGCAGGGCAGGCCGGCCGGCCGGCAGGCAGGCACGTGCCGCTGGGCTGCCCTTGCGTTGCCACACCAGCCCCCCACCCCTGCTGGCTGGGGCCCTGGGCCTCCCTGCACCTGCCACCTCCCCGCCACCCCCCCGCCACCCAGCGGCGCCTCACCCCTTCCAGCAGCGGGTCCAGCGCTTCGGGGCACAGCACTCCCAGCGTGCCCATGGCCCACACCACGTTGGACAGCTCCTGCGCCCGGTACTGCGCGGTACGGTGGCTCACAATGGCCAGCGCCAGGCGCCGCGCCAGCTCAGCGCGCTGCACGTCGCCCAGCGCTGCAAGGGAGAGGGAGGACGGCGCGCGGCGGGTGGCACAGGGGTCAGCCGCGCGCATGCGTGAGCCTGGTGTCCCCCCTTGCAAGGCATCTGCTGGCAGCTACTGCTGCAGCCTGCAGCCCCTGCTTTGCGAGCCGCCACCCGGCCTCCCCGCCAGCCTGCTGGGCCCGGCCCCGCCCTCGCACCCACCCACCCACCCACCCGCCAGCCCCCACATCGTGTTGGCCAGGCCGCGCGGCTGGTAGTGTGGCACCAGCGCCTCCACCCGCGCCACCAACGTCTGGTAGCAGGGGTGCGCCACCACGCTCTTGTTCACGCCTGCGGGGGCGGGTTGGGGGGGTGGCGAGGGGGTGGCGAGGGCCAGCGGGGCGTGCACGGCATGGTGAGAGGTGGCAGCGCAGCTGCGTGTGCGTGAACCGGCCTCCTTGCTGCGTGGCCTCCTGGCTGCGGCGCGCGTCCGTTTGCGTGTGCCCGCCTCCCTCACCCGGCTCCGCCTCGCGCCGCCGCCGCGCCACCTTGCCCAGGCGGTGCATGGCGGTGGATGTGTTGATTGAGTCCCATCA